GTTTCAATCCATTGTTGGACAAGCTCAAAAACTACTGTGGGAATAGCATTGTTTGGCCCAACTCTACCAAACACAACATCATACTGAAGATATGATCGATTGTGATAAAGTAATTGATGAGTAATTTTAGGTGTACTGTGCCGGTCATGTTCCCACACCTGGACCACACGACCCCATTCCACATAGGTATGTTCCACTGCATTTACAACTACTGCTTAGTCATTCAGATAGCCTGAAACATTTCTTCGGCCCTCGAATTAGTTGAAGCGTTGAGTCCTGATTGATGAGATTTACATTCGCGAATTATCATCACTAGCTCGTGTTCAACCCCTTGTTGAACGAAATTTAATAGTATTAGATTATAATTGGGCCTCTCATCATTTTTTAATGTATCGGTCCTTATTCACAACCTAGTTTACCAACGAAATTATGTAAAGCTGTAAAGCTTCCGGATAGGAATGACCGCTGCTACAGATATTTTGCATTCAGAAAAAGCAAAGGCAAAAGAAGCCTGCACAAACGAATCATGTCTTGGGCTCTTTCGAAACCAACCAAGCCCTTCATCGATTACAGAGCGGACTACTTAGGGGTCTCATCCAGTAAGGGGGGGGGGGGCATAGCGATCTAGAGCATTTCAAACCATGGAAAGCACATTATTTTATTGTAGACGTTCAGGACTAAGCCTAGAAGGGAAGGAGCCCCCGGGTCCGTGAGCAATCTTGGTTTTCCCCGGGGACTTCCTCCCCCTCCTAGGCTTAGTCCTGACCTGCTAACTAGGTGAATATTACTTTTCGTAGACGTTAATGTCATCTAGTACAAGAATACATACATTACACAAAACACCTGAAGAAATAACATAGGAAAAAAGCTGATAGCAGCTCGTAACTTTAAAGGACTCCTTGAGCCAAATTGGCATTAGAGCAGACCGTGCACCGCAATGCCCCTCTTAAGGATGAGACCCCTACTTAGAAACACGAGCCTCTCGCTGTTGTGTATTGGCCCACAGTCGTGAATTGTGGTCAATTCACGATGAAGAAAAGCTCCCGAGCCTTTTCTTAGCTAAGGGAACCCCCAAGGTCGGAGACGTGGCGTTTTTTGAGAGAATTCACTGACATTACATGTTTTGACGATTTC